GGACGCCGGGGGACCGGGTCCTTCTGCAGGAGACCTGCCCCGCCGCGCGCCCGGGGACGGGGAGCGGGAGGCAGCGGCGCGCGGAGCGCCCTCGTGGGACCTGCCGGCGGCCCGGGGCGGTGACCCAGGTGAGGGCAGAGGGGCGGAGGCGTCGGCGGCGGAGCCCTTGGGACCTCCAGCCAGACCGCCTGGCGCCTGGAGGTGGAGAGGTGCCGGGGATCCCGAGCCCCCTGGACCTTTGGGGAGAGGGAACCCCGCTGGTCTCCAGCTCTTCCTTCAGACCTCGGAGGAAAAGGAGGAGGGTCCTAGAGGCGCTGGCATTTTCGGGCGCAGCCAGGAGCCCGGCGTGAGGACCGAGCCCGGAGCCGGCGACCTTTATTACTGGCCGAGGAGAGCCGGGAGACACCGGGGTTCCCACCGCGACTCCCCCTCCAAGACGGGCAGTGGACCCCTGGGGCACGAGGGGCGGGTGATGGCACCCCCCGGAAGGGCGCTGGCTCAGAATGGGTCCTCGGGGGAAGGGGTCCCCGAAGGCGAGGATCCCCGGCCGCGAAACAGCACAAACCGGCGCTTGCGACTGAAGAACCCCTTCTACCCGCTGACCCAGGAGTCCTACGGAGCCTACGCGGTCATGTGCTTGTCGGTGGTGATCTTCGGGACCGGCATCATTGGCAACCTGGCGGTGATGTGCATCGTGTGTCATAACTACTACATGCGGAGCATCTCCAACTCCCTCTTGGCCAACCTGGCCTTCTGGGACTTCCTCATCATCTTCTTCTGCCTCCCACTCGTCATCTTTCACGAGCTGACAAAGAAGTGGCTGCTGGAAGATTTCTCCTGCAAGATTGTGCCCTACATCGAGGTAATAATGCCTTCCAGAGGGTCTGAAACTATTGGCTTTACCCATTTCCGGGTTTTATAGTATCAGAACTGCTGCTCGAGGTACCTACCTGACTGCTAAGTCCCATGGGGGGTCCCTCCTTCATTTCTCTTGCCAGTTATCTATCTATCTATCTATCTATCTATCTATCTATCTATCTATCTATCATCTATCTATTATCTATCTATCTATCTATCATCTATCATCTATCAAGAGGGGTAGCTTTGTTCACTCACCTTCAAACTCATCTGCTCCCAGATTGTGCAATAATTATGATCTCATAATGTGTAGAATTGTTTTGATTTTAAATTTATTTCCCTGAATATAGTGTCACATATATTTCTGATTTGGCACCAAGCAGATTCTAGAGTTAATAAGTGGCCAGTGCATGGTTGTCATGATCAGAATCCAGCAAGAAAAAACTTGTATAATTCATCTTCTAGATTTCCAGGCTCCAAGATGATTTTCCCCCTCAAGAGATTATTGCATTTTTTTCTTAAATATCAAAATAGGAGTAATACTTTATTCAGCAAAGGAAATCTGCCTTTCTTTGTTTTTCAGTTGGCCTCATGATATATTAATAACCTCCTAAATTAGTTTAAGTGTCTTTGGCTGTCTGCCATGCTGTCCCATCTAAACTCTCATATCATTTCTTGTTTCTTTGTTTCCTTCTCAATTTTTCGATACTTTCATTTATTTTGTATGAATGAGCGTAAGCAAAAATAACACTTTGGCCATCCGGGGACAGAATTTATTTAACATTCTCAAAGTATATATGTTTGCCATTTGCCATTGACTATTTTAAGGGATTGACTCTAAAACTAGAAGATTTTTTAAGAAGAGGGGCATATAATAGGTTCTAAACTTTGGAAACAAAAATTTTTCTGCGTAAAATTTGACTGTTTCACCCTACAGCTAGTGTCCTGCACTGTTATTATGGCAGTTGGAATGTGCTCTTTAAATGGCCTCTCTTTAAACACCAGCTCTTGGAAGGAGCCCAAGTGCTTTGCTGCCAGTTGTGTCTTTAGCCAGCTGGCCCTTGATTTCCTCCATTCATACTGCTTGTTTCATTTATGGAAGCAGAAGAAGGGAAACTGTAAATATTCCGGAGCCCCTGATCCCGTCTGGCACCAGGGCCAGTGACACTATGTTCAACATTGTCCCAGGGCCTGAGGCTAGGGGATAAGTACACAGAAACAGTACCTACTTAAAAGGACCAAGACAAGAGACAGTAAATAAGACCCTGTGTTATCCTGGCAGGGATCAGATGCAGAATCAGGCCGTGCTTGCTAAATCAGCTGTTCCTACTTTACCAGGATCCAGGATTTCTCTTGTTGCCAAGCTCCAAGGAACTCTGAAATATCCAGTTTATTTGGTAGACCATTCAATGTTGAATTGCAGAGAGGTAGTTGAATTTATGTTGGTGAATATGTGTCTACCAATTGCCTTTTCAAGGTCAATTTCAACTTAAAATTTCTTTTGTTTAAGAATGTAGAAGAAATTAAAATAGGTAAAGAAGAGGCAACAGTAAACTGTAAAATAAACAGGAGAGTTACTCCAATAAAAGGCATATGTATTGGACATGGAGAAACCTTTATCATTAGAGGAAAAAGTAATAAAGAAGACAGAAGAAAAGAAACTGGGGAAAGAAACATTTTTACCAAAGTTCTTGGAAAAAAAACTTTAAAAGTAAAGAATTCCATCCGAATTCACACAAAAATTGGTTAAATTAATGAGACCTATAAATTGTGAGCGATGGTATTTATTATGTATGGGTTTTCATTTTTCTAATTCTAAGAAGTTTTAAAAAATATCTCCTGTGATTTCATCTTCCAATTTAATTCTCTGCTCCTTAAGAATACTTGTTTTTACCTCTTATTATTAACACTAGTGGCCCGGTGCATGGATTCGTGCACATGGAAATTAATTAGAAGAAATATTTGCCCTTGATCTGTAATAGAAATGTCAACAAAAACAACCAAATTCACGATCAAAACACACACGTGCAGCTGGGGCCAGTGAGAGCTTTCTATGTACTGCACATGTGCGAGTCAACATTTATTTCTAAATTGCCAGTGCTGGTCATATGTACTGGCCAGTTGGTTGGTCTGACAGATGTAGGGTCAGATACTTAGCCTTTTATATATAAAGACTAGAGGTCTGATGCACGAAGATTCGTGTAAGAATAGGCCTTCCTTCCCCTGGCTGCCGGCACTGGCTTCCCTCTGGCACTCAAGACATGGGCTGCTTTGGCATCTGGGACCGGGGCTGCTTTGCTCTGGCTGCTGCCGCCACCCACCGGGGGCATGCTTCGCGCCTGGTGTGTGTCCGCTGGGGTGAGGGCATGCTCTGAGCTGCGCTGTGGCTGCTCAGAGCATACCCCGACCCCTGGTGTGTGTCCTCTGGGGCTGGGGGTGGCACCCAGTCCCCTCCCGCCCATCTGCGTACGCAACTCCTCCTGAGCAGTCCTGATGCAGCCTCCTCCTGAGCGGTTGTGATGCCCCGCTAACTTGCATATTACCTGATTTTATATATATATAGATGGTTATTTCTTGGTCTCTGTATTTTTTCTTCTTTATAGACCTACTTAAAAAAAGTTATTGGTACCAGGCTTTATTTTCCCTAGAGAAGCAAAGGTTTTGGGGGGAAAAGATTTACTAATTTTTTAATTGAAAAATCAGACTACAATATATATTTTTACTGTTAAACTATGAGTGAAAATCTCAGTCTTTAATCTAAAATGTAAAATGTGTTCTCTACATTCCTACCTAATCTTATTTCTCTGAAATAATTTTATAATGTTTTATCATGCTTAGTGAAAATAATTACAGACAGTCCTCTCGACATACGTCGTTTCATGGTTATGTCGCCATCTCCCATTTATTTATTAAAAAAAAAGTTCTGTCATTTCGACGTATGTACATATGTGCTTTATGTTTTTTATTATTTATTTACCACAAGTAAAGGTCAGGAATTGTTATCTTTCTTTTAAATTCTTTTACTGTTTCACTTCATTACTGCTGTGTATGTGCTCCATGTGAGTGACGTAGGTGCTTATGTAGGTGGGTTCCGACTTATGGTGAAAATCATGCTATGTCGCACTGTAGGAACAGATCTCCGACTTAACCCAAGGACCTATTGTATTGGACTACCAACAGCTTCATATTTCCTGATTATGACAATAAGTACAGTCCAAAACCCCAAATAAAGCATTTCTGCCTCCAGGAGGCACTGTTATTTTCACAGAAGTCACAGAGATTTATTTAGTGTCTGTTCCATGTCAGGTTTTCCCCTAAACAGACCCTAATGTGGGAATTTGTTTGCAGGAAGTATGTTGGGTACACACTCAAGTTCAACACCTAGTAGGGAATGAAGCATGCGGGGCTGGGCAGAAGAAGCTGAACTGAGATGCAGATGCCACCATGACCACAGGGAGCTCTAGGTCTGAGGTGGCCCTGCCAAGATATCCTGAACTGAGGCCTGGGGACCCACACTTTATGTCCCCTAATGGACCAGTCATTGGATACAAGTGGCTCCCAGAAAGGGGGCACAACCTTGAGCTGAGTGGATCTCTTTGGTCAAGGGCAATTTCTAAAGAGGGATGCATTTAAAAGCCATCAACCACCAGTAGCACTAGTGGTTGGGTGAATCAGCACTTCATTAGGGCGGCAATCTGGGTGGGGAGCCACAGCCTTCACCACAGTAGCTTTTGAATTATCATGTTAAATTATAATCAGATGGCATCTTAATCCAACTCCTTGATCTTAAAGATGAAACATGAGATTCAGAGAAAAGAAATGACCACCCTAAGTATATATACCTAGTCAGTGGCAATCAGACTCTTTGTCTCAACACTTGATGTTGATGTTTACTATTAGACTAACATCTTTGAGGCAAAAGGGTTCCTGAAGTACATTCGGTTTTTTTTTTGTTTGTTTGTTTTTACATTCGTTTTTATTTCTGCTCTTTGGCATCTTTAAAAAGTATTTCTATATTCAATAGATGATAATAAAATAATAGGCATCAATTGGTATATGATGGCATTTATAGCTTCTTATATTATTACCAGAGGCCTGATGCACAAAAATCGTGCAAGAGTAGGCCATCCTTCCCCCGGCTGCTGGCACCAGCTTCCCTCTGGCACCCAGGACCCAGGCTTCCCTCGCAGCCCCTGCTTCATCTGGAAGGTCGTCCAGAAGGACGTCCGATCTAATTAGCATATCATGCTTTTATTATTATAGAAGTTTCATCTTGTTTCTCATAAATTGACAGTAAGGTTCTATAGTTGTTAGCTCATTAATTTTTTTTAAAATTGCAATAAGCCTAGACAACTGCACTTTAAAAACATAATTATTTTCGTGATCAAATAAAGTTCTATAAGTTATATTTTATGTTCTTAAAATCACAAAGTGTTTTAGATTAGTGAAGAACATTACAACTTTAAACAATTGAAGGTTTAAAGAAATCAAACATTTGTTTAAACTTTCTCCAAAACCCGTCTCTTCCCAATCATTTTCCTCTTGACCACAAGACTTCTAAAAATTATTTGAGATTATATCTTCTTTTATTACCTAGCTTTTGCCTTTTCTTCATTTATATTTATTTGTTTTCTATTTTCCTTTCTTTCTTTTTTTTATCACATACCCTCTTATTGATTTACAATGTATGCTTTATCATGTTTTTTCTGTTTTCATGTTATTTTTAATATTTCTCATTTAAAAATTTTATCCATAATTTATTTTTATTGAGGTATTATTGACTATAACATTATATTAGTTTCAGGTATACAACATAATGATTTGATATTTATATACATTGTAAAATAATTGTCACAACAGGTCTAGTTAATACTTCTCACCTTACATAGTTGCCAATCTTGTGATGAGAACTTTTAATATTTACTTTCTTAGCATCTTTCAAATATGTGATACAGTACTATTAGCTATTATAATCATGCTGTGCATTACATCCATAATTCATTT